GGTAGGGCCCTGGATAGTGTTGTAGAACAGAGAAACCTAGAGGTTCAGATGCATAATCTTTGGAATTTGCATCACAGTAGACAGGGTCGTTAAGAAGATGTTTACCACTTTTGCCTTCATTGCTCAGACCTTTGAATATAGAAGTTGAGACTGTACAGGATTTTGGTGAGGCCTCTTCTAGAGGACTGTGTGCAGTTCTGGTCACCCTGTTATAGGAAGGATATCATTAAATTGGAGAGGGTTCAGAAAAGATTTACCAGGATGTTGCCAGGAAAGGAGGGTTTGAATTATAAGGATAGGCTGGGATGGTTTTCACTGGAGCATCGGAGGTTGAGGGTTGACCTTATTGAGGTGTATAAAATCATGAGGGACATAGATAATGTGAATAGGAAGGATCTTTTTCCCACGGTGGGAGAATTCAAAATTAGTGGGCATATATTTTTATGATGAGAGGAGAAAGGTTTATAAAGGACATGAGGGCAACCTTTTTACACACAGTGTGGTTTGTGTGTGGAATGAAGTGCTAGAGGAAGTGGAGATGTAGGTACAGTTAAAACATCTAAAAGACATTTGGATAAGTACATAAATAGAAAAGAGGGATATGGGCCAAATATAGGCAAACGGGACTGGTTGAGTTTGCGAACATAGTTGGTGTGGATTATTTGTACTTAAGGGTCTGTTTCCATGCTGTATGACTCTATGACTGAACTTTGTGTTCTAATTAATGCCCTTCATTTGAGTTGAAACTTACTTTTATGCCTTGAGGTTGTGGCTATTTCTGGTTCTGGTGTTGGGAAAACTGGAAGAAAGAATAGAATTAGCTGGGACATACTTGTAGGAAACTTGCATCATGTACCTGCCTTGGATCAGCAATTGAGACTTGCTACTGTCCTCATCATCCCTTAACTTTTCTTTATTCACTCAAGGGAATGAGAGTATTGCTGGTGAAGGTAGCATTTCTTGTTCATGACTGAATGGCTTGCTAGGCCATTTCTGAAGACTATTTAAAGTCATGCATGTTGCTGATGTCACATATTGACCAGACCAGCAGGTTACAAAAGGGCATTAATGAACTAGATATACTATATTCTACAACAGTCAAGTACTTAAATCAGCACTATTAAGATATTTTGTCAATTCACATTCGCCAGATGCTGGTGGTATTTAAATCCATGCCTACATATTATTAGTTCAGCCCTTTGAATTACAGCTATATTACCGTTCCCTACAGCCACCTAGGAGAAGCATTCATTCATTCTTCATCTTTGAACCTTCTCCCTTCCTTCCTTTCCTGAAGGTGTTGACATCTGCAGAGGTTCGGTTCTACAGGTGTCAATGACATTTTATGATTAGCCAATTTCCCAATCTCCAATGTGATTTGTCAGGAATCTATCACCAAACGTGTGAAACATTGGCATCTAATCCCTGTCCTTCAATATATTTCACAGATGGTAACAGGAATGGGAGCCATAGCTTAGGTTCCTAACCCAGATCCATCTGAGCTGAGGTCAATTTTACTGCCCAGTTAACTTAGCAGATGAGGCCTTAAATCTTTAAGCCTCCATTTCTCTCTCTCTCTCTCTCTCTGAGTGGAATGTGGGTGTTAGTCTCTGCGGCACGGTGGAATCTTGTTGGGTTTAGGGCAAATGGTCAGGAGTCCTGGACAGTAAAAAGGGTTGGAAAAGTGTAATTGGGATATGTGTATGTGTGTGGTAAATTGGACGAGGTCAACCTACTAGTCACCCAGGTTTTTAATTGTCTACCTTTTCTTCGAGCAGGGTAACCAGTAATTTAATGGAAGTGGAACCTGAATTCTGTCGTTAAGGGGTTCTCTCAGAGGGAATTGCCCATTGGAATCTTCAATTTCCTCAGGCAATTCCCATGGAGTTTGCTGTGTCTCAGGATCTGCATGGTTCTGATGCACGAGTCTTAGTTGTTGAAGCAGCATAAACGTTTGGCAATCAATACTCATAATGTGAGTGATTTAGCATCAAACTACATAATGTATGGATTCACTAAATCTTTGGTTTATCTAAAATTTCTACATAAGTTGATATTTCTGGATTATTTAATTCTAGACTCTTACCTCTGGTTCAGAGGATTATGAGCTCAACTCCTATTCCAGCCTTTATTACAGTACCAAGGGAGTACTATGTTGTTGGAAGCGATGCCTGACACAATTTTCTGAGTCAAACATCTGCCAGTATGATTTATTGTCTGAGGGCAGCCCTATATGTTAGCTAACATAACATGGACCACAAAAACTGGGTTCTTGTTGATACAGATGTCCTGAAAGTTGTTAGCAACACTAGCCAGTTACAGCATTATGGTATTTCAGACTTACACATAGTTTGTGCATGTACATCACATACACTCTGTGCTTACTGACTGTTGGTGTTACATGACAGACAGACAGACACAGACTGAACAGACAAACTCCATTGCACTGAGAGTGACCTTAAGACCTTAGAGAATACTTGTGGACATGGTAATATGACTAAAAATCACAAGGCATTTGTTTCAGCAAGTTGAGGAACACCCCAGGTGGTATGGAAACTTAAACCTTACCTATTTAGGAGCATAATAAGCTACTCTTTGTGTCACAGTTGTATAGATGTTGGCCCTGAAGGCAGTTATGGTTCTTTCATGTTCCAATCAGCTTCTCAGTGTTACTTTGGTTGAAGGCCTCTAGAGAATTGACATAACTGGCTATTTATAGCAGCTAATGTTGTTCCTCTACATATTCAACTATTTTTTTCTCTAGTGTAAACCAGGCAGACCATTGAAAAATTTTTGGGTTGGACTGTCTGCAATTGTGTCTTCTCTTCTACTTATGTGTGGAATAATTTCAAGTTTCTTAATAAGCCAACTCAAGCTGTGGATCTTAATTTGTCTAAACCACCTTGCAGTTCAATGACTCTAGACATAGCGGTTTTGCACCATTCTCATGCCCAGAGTTGACTGGGACAAGGGAATGGAAACCTCAGCACTTTGGAAAGCTGATGCTGAGCAGAGCAGAAGAGAAAGAGATGGAGAGAATGAAGGGAAAGATATAAAAGAAACATAAAAACAAAAAGGTGTGTATAAAAGTGGAAAACAGAAAAAGAAAAAAAAAAGTGAAACAGGAGCAAAGGAACACAACACTCAATGAGAGTAGAAGGTTGAGGGTGACATTATAGAGGTCTATAAAATCATGAGGGGTATAGATAAGGTGATTAGCAGGTGTCTTTTCCTTAAGGTGGGAGATTTCAAGACTAAGGGCACATTTTTAAGGTGAGAGGAGAAAGATTTTTAAAAGATAGAAGAGGCAATCTTTCACAGTGTGGATCCTGTGTGAAATGAAATTCCAGAAGAAGTGGCGGATGTGGATACAGTCGCAACATTTAAAAGATATTTGGATAAATTCATGAATAAGAAATGTTTGGAGGGAGATGGGCCAAGTGCAGGCACGTGTGACTAGTCTAGTTTGGGAATATGGTTGGACAGAAGAGTCTGTTTCCATGCTGTATGATTCTGTGAGTTTGGTAGGCCCCTTGTGTCAAATTAAAGGTCATTAATTTCACAAGCAAAGGCCTAGACAATGAAGCAGCCAGCAGCTCCTGACTGAAGTCTCAATCACTTCTCTTTTTTGGAGAGAATGTAATTTGTTAAGTCTTTAACAAAGATCTTTATCTAAAGAAAAAAAGCTTAATTGAAGTATTCCAGTTGATCTTATACAGTCGGATGGTATGACATTGTAAGTCATACAGTCACATGACTTTGCAGTTGCAATCAGTTTTGATTGTGATTGTTATTACATCTGCTGAGGTACTCAAAAGCTAACATTCCAATCGTAAATCAATAAAAGTTCAATGCCAAGTACACAATTCAATTTTCAGTTTTTTAAATGTAAATTATTATTTCATTTTAGATTTCTGAATTGTTAGTTACACACATTTTAGTGTTGGAAGTGAAATAAACACATTTAAAAGGAGGTTTGGCCATCTTCGTACTATAGGAGACTTGAATAGAGAATGTTGCACAGAGCAATAATGTACAACACATTTGCAAGTTATTTCTTAGAGTCCTAGGCTACATTCATCTTTGCAATCTAGATGAGTTATGGTCCCAGTTTACATGGTATGTGGGTGGTTTGAGTCTCTATGCAATTATTTGAGGGAGCTACTCCTTAACTTTTTCGGTTTCTTATTATCCTTTGGCTCCTGATCTTCGATCTCCTGGTTGTCATACATTGAGGTGGGGGTGGGGGTGTGTGGAGAGACAGTAAGGGCGGTCTGGTAATTTGGAAGAGCTCCTTTAAGTTCTTTTCCTGGGCTCAACAGTCCAGGATGGATGTTGTCCACAGGAGTCAGTCCGGCTACCTAACTCTTTTCTGTGTCCTTGTGCACGCCCACTTGTCTTTGGAGAGAGAGTGTGTGTAGTGTCCACCAAGCATGCTTAGGGACTTCTGTAACCTATTGACACTTCAGAGGATGGGTGTTAAATGGACACAAGCAATAGCTTTATAGAAACTACTGATCTGACCTGGATATCAAGCGGATCAAGTGGCTAATTGTACGATGCCTTCCCTGCTCGATTATAAAAATTAAGTTTTGGCAACAAAATAAAGTGATACAGCAACAATGTTGAGGCAATTATATAACATAGCTTCTTTCTGCCCCTCTGTTACTTGCAACTGCTTGTAAATGAAATGTTGACATTTTCAAGTTGGTAACATTATTAACGAGACCCTGTATTTCTTACTCAGTCGCTTCGTGAGAACAGAGTTCAAACGCTGCCTATACTAGTTAATAAGCACGTTTGATTATATCTAGTATACACTTGCTTATATGGACTTAATGGATGATTGGAACCTTTAGCTTTTGCTCCTTCTGCATATCAAAATTTTCAATTGTTTCAGTGTGTCACTGGTTCAGGGTTACATGCAAATCTAAACCTTTCTGACTGTTCTGTTACACCTTTTGTTCATCCTCTCATATTTAGTTTGATATTGGCTTTACCTTCCATCTTCACATTATCTATAACCTCTGTGATTTTCTCATCAAGTTCATCCATCATGGTTTTATGCTTGTAAAAGAAGGGACGGATGAAATTCATGTAAAGTATACGAGAACCATTCCAATCGACTGGTGCCATGCACCACATCAGAAAGATACTCTGAAGAATAAAGAAAAATGTTACCAGTGGAGAAGGCTTTTTAGGGATAGTTTAATGCAATTGATTAAACAGTGGCTTCTTGTTCTTGGGTTCCAGTCTAACTCAGCCAGATTGAACCTAAGATTTTTTTCTCCCCCCAGCATGATGCCTTTCCTGTATAATTATAATAATGTGGTATACCAACAATAGAAGTAATTAAGTAACATAGCTTCCTTCTGCCCCACTGTTACCTGGGATTTTGGTTGGAGAGGCCAAAATGAGCAAAAATGGTTTCCCTTACTTCTACACACATTAAAGTGACGTGATGTGGTCAGAATATCAGTTCATAATCACCATCTGGAGAAATAAGAGGACTTTTCCACAGATCTTCGACATTGTTAGCCTTGGTTTTGCTGCCTCAGTGACAGAAAGCTCCCAATGTTTTGTGGCTTCTTGAAGCAGTGATTTTAAACACAGCATGTACCAATTACCGGGCATGTGAGAAATAAAAGTTCTTGGTGTCTGTATACCTACTTCAGAAGTACACTTTAAGTCAGTTTTTTTGGCTTTTATTTCAATGTATAATGGCAAAATAAGGGGAAGAAACACACATTTATTCAGTTCATATTTTCCAATATACATAAAGAGAAATTGGAATGTTTAGTACTTTTTACAGGCTGATCTTAATAAACTGGAATTAACTGATGATCATGGGCAGGCAAAGATAAAATCAGTTTCATACCTTCACTTTATGATAGGCTGGTAACGTATAGAGGACGATGCCAGCTGCACATTCAAATATCGAAAATACTCCGTATATCACCCAATACGTAAGCCACTTCAATTTATCCTCTTTATTCTCACTTTCGATAGCTAGAATTCTAGAAAGCCAAAGATTAAGGATAGTCATGTCTCTCCTACTTGATTGTATTAGGACAGTGTTTAGCGTTCAGACTAATAGTTTACCTTAAAAATCTCCCCTTTTCTTCTCTGGTCACATCCTTGGCTATGGCTCTGCAGATGCCATCAACCACCAGGACTATACATGGAAATGTGAAATTTTAAAATGAGCTTGATGAATTGTATCAATCATTTGGCTTCAATAGTTACTTCTCGATATCAACCAGCAGTGCAAAAATCTGGTTGTGTTCCTCCCCATCTCCATGTGTTAGGGGTGGAAGTCTAATTGTATTGCCTTGATTAAAATACACCGACTTCATATCGTGAAAAGTTAATCGAATCACAAAGGGAAACAAATGGAGTAGATTGAAGCAAACCTATTTCTACTGGTTGAAGAATCTTAGTCTAGGGCAGTGTAATTAAGAAACAGTCCTATGTACAAAGGGTGCAGAAACTTGGATCATTCTTTCTCAAATGGCACTTAATGAACAATTGTTAGATTTAAATTTGAAATTGATAGATTTTTGTAACTAAAAAAAGTGTTAAAGGGATATGGGCCAAAGTTGGCTGGTTTGCAAGTCAGCCATGATCTCAACATATGGCAGAACAAGCTCAGTGCACGAAACAGCCTACTCCTAACTCAGTACAGACCAGAAATTAAATCTAGGAACTTCCAGACTGCTCTGAGTCAGTAACAAAATAAACAACACACACTAAAATGCATGTCTAAGATACCAATATATCAAGGATTGTAATAGAACAGTTTATCAATTGTAGTGCTTATGAGGAGTAGAAAAGTAGTTTGGAATTTTTAATTACTCTCAGAATACTCTTAGCCAAATTCACTTAGTACTATTCTACACTCTTCTCCACAACACTGCACATCATTCCTTCCAGGACAGCAGCCTAATTCCCTTTCAGATGTTTCAGGTATGTCTCCCGATGGTCTCAGGCAATATATTCCACACGTTAACTATTCAATGAGTGAAAAAGATCTTCATTGCCATCTGACCAAGATTCTTTAAGATTTTGACCTATCTTCTCTGCCTTTTAAAAGGCAAAAGGAACAAATTTATAATCAGGATAAAATTAATACACAAATTTTTAACAGCTTCACCATGTGCCCCAGTTTTGCACTAATACATTTTTTGATTTATTGGTGACTATCTTAAGTTGGTGTACAATATTGGAGGCAATATAATTAGCCTTAGTACCCTTACCTCATGGTTTCTGGTTTTGATCTAACCAAAAAAGTGGAAATGTCTTGTCTCTGTCTAATTGAGTGCTAAGTTTTCTGTTCACGCTGCCTCCCCCTCGATGAAAGCTGAAGCACAGTTCAACTTAATGTTGCAGTCTGTTTAGTTCTCACAGGAACAAGGGGAAGCCTTTCAGCCCTCCAAGCCTGTACTATTGTTTTGAAAGACCATGGGTGACCTTTATCTTAACTCCATATCACTTTTTACACTTGTCTTACAAAAAACAAAAACAGAAACTACTACCTTTTGTGTGGAAGTGAGTTTTACATGTCAAGCATCCTTTTCATAAAGAATTGTTGTCAATAACTTCCCTCTGGATTGGATTTTAATATTATTCCCCTTAGACTTAACTCCAGCAGTAGGAAAAAATCTAAACACTAAACGCTTCATAAGATCACTTCTTGACGTCTATATTTCTTAGAAGCATATAGACTAGGAGCTGAAGTAGGCCATTCAGCCTCTTGAGCCTGCTGAGCCATTCGGTAAGATCATTTTTGATCTGTTTGTGTTGAATCCCACGGTTCCATCCACTCATGATAATCTTACCTAACAACCATCTATCTACCTCACTGCTAAAAATAATGAATGACATCTTCATCACTAGCTTCTGAGACAGAGTTTCAAAATTGCATAACACTCAGGAAAAAAAAATCATCTGTCCTTAAGGGACAATCCTTAATTTTCAATATGCCTCCCATCAAGAGTTTACAATCACAGTAAATGTAATCTGAACTCAATTTAACTCTTGGAGATTTGGTAACATTTTGAGGGAAACAGTGCTGCATGAGAGACCTCAGGTGCAGTCTTTTGAACTGTATAGAATACATGTCTAACCCAGGTTTTCTAAGTAACAACTCTCTCCCCTTCATGTATCAGCCATTTAGCTTTAAAGATGAACACGCTATTGGCCTTTTTTTTAAAAAACTATTTTTGTATCCATTAGACTTCAATACTTTGTATACAGGGTATGTGTATAAGTAATTTATTAAAATACTTAAAATATTATTTTAATAACACGATTTGTACTTTCTGGGTCTAAAAATATGACCTCAAGTCTACTCAAGGCTCAGCGTGCTGAGATCTTGCAGAAAACAAAATGCAGACTTATGTGGATAATCCCACATGGTTCTCAATCTTTGTCAGCGCACTGGGCTGACCAATTTCTTAAATGTTTCCAGCAACCGGATTTCTGGTTTTTTTTTTGCTTCAACCCAGAAGTGTTATCACACACAACTGAGAGACTTTCCCACCAAAGTCTTAGTGAATTTTTTTCGCTTATTTTCTTTAAGCAAACTAAACCATCACCAGTAAAAACACCAATGTACCCAACTGCGTATTTCCAAGCAAAACCCATTCTGGATAATGTACCTGGCTTCTGTTATGGTCCTTAGCAAACCAAGCAAATTGTTTGAGACAACAAGGTGCAGAGCTGGATGAACACAGCAGGCCAAGCAGCATCATAGGAGCAGTAAAAGGCTGACGTTTCGGGCCTAGACCCTTCATCAGAAATGGGGGAGGGAAAGGGGGTTCTGAAATAAATAGGGAGAGAGGGGGAGGCGGATAGAAGATGGATAGAGGAGAAGATAAGTGGAGAGGAGACAGACAGGTCAAAGAGGCAGGGATGGAGCCAGTAAAAGGTGAGTGTAGGTGGGGAGGTAGGGAGGAGATAGGTCAGTCCAGGGAGGACTGACAGGTCAAGGGGGTGGCATGAGGTTAGTAGGTAGGAAATGGGGGTGCGGCTTGAGGTGGGAGGAGGGGATAGGTGGGAGGAAGAACAGGTTAGGGAGGCGGGGAGGAGCTGGGCTGGTTTTGGGATGCGGTAGTGGGAGGGGAGATTTTGAAGCTTGTGAAATCCACATTGATACCATTGGGCTGCAGGATTCCCAAGCGGAATATGAGTTGCTGTTCCTGTAACCTTCGGGTGGCATCGTTGTGGCACTGCAGGCGGCCCAGGATGGACATGTCGTCTGAGGAATGGGGGGGGGAGTTGAAA